TCTCTCTCTCTCTCTCTCTCTCTCTCTCTCTCTCTCTCTCTCTCTCTGGTGCCATGTATGGCTGGCATTCCCTTACCTCTCATTGTCTCAGGCGCTTCTCCCCTCTCGGTCTCAGGGTGCCGGTGCAAGCACACTGCTTCCCTGCGCTCGTACGCTCAAGCAGCCTGGAGGCTTTTGCCCAGTCAGAATCTGGGTCAGGCTGCCCAACCTCTCCTTCATCACCAGCCCGTCGTACTGGCGGGTGGGCATCACCTTCTGGTTCTTTCTACATGAGGCCGCAGCCTACAGGGACCCTGGTTGTTCAGTTCCGACACCGACTTCCTCTGGTCCACTCTTCTCAGAAACTGGTCATTCACCTTTCAGGACTTCGCTTAGGGTCAACCTTCTTTGACCACGCTTGGGAGACCCTCAAAGCCTCTTCTTTTTTTTTTCTTTTTTTTTTGTGGACCATTTTGCAAGTCTTTGGGTTTGAGAAAGAAACGTGAAAATGGAAAGAAAAAGGTCGTACTCACACTTATACTTTCTCAAGAATCTCAACAATACTTCCTCAACACCCTCCGGCCGTAACTGCTCTGAGATTCATCTCAGTAAGTTCACTCTCTGGCCATAACCGCTGTCACATTCATCTCAGTAAGTTCCTGGACCAGTAAGAGTATGTATGCATGCAAAAAAGCTAAGTATAGAGGAAGCCTCTAGAAGAGGTGCCTCTTCTTCACCTCCTTTTTCAGAAGTCATAATAGTCATTCTATTATAATCCGAAAAATGACTCCAAGGAGGTGAGAGGAAGAGGCACCCCTTCTAGAAGGGGTGCCTCTTCCTCTAGAATGACTATTATGACTGCACTCTCTGGCCAGGGGTGCCTTTTTCGGAAGTCATAATAGTCATTCTAGAGGAAGAGGCACCCCTCATAGAATAATCTCAAAACATTCGTAAAATTGCGTTCTTGCACTGTAAAAAAACTGCAGCAGGAAATCTATGCAGAGAGACTGAGTTTGCTTGGTCCTTTCTAACAGAGAGGAAGATTGAAGGACTCCAAGGTGGAGGAGGCGGATGGGGAACAACGGGAATGAGGAGGCCCTGGGCAAGGAGGCCAAGGAGGAGGATGGTGAGGAGGAGCAGGAGGACAAGGCGTGGGAGGGGGGGGGGGGGGGGGGGGGGGGGGGGGGGGGGGGGGGGGGGGGGGGGGGGGGGGGGGGGGGGGGGGGGGGGGGGGGGGGGTGTTGAGTGGAGGTTGATGATAGGCGACGGAGATGGGGGAAGGACCATCTGTTGAGTGGAGGTTGATGATAGGGGACAGATCTTGTTTTGTAGTTGGCCCGATGGACCATGGATTACATATTAAGTTATTAACCTGATCAGAACTGATACCTCATTTGATCCTTCTTACTTAGACCAAAAGGTCGAGAAAGTATTCTATGGACACATTCTGTAAAAAAAAAAAAGTCCTTTTTAATGCAGGACGAGACTATTTAGTATTTATGCTCTACACCCTTAGCGAAAAACCACCCTGGCAATTTCAAAGTTGGCAGACCGATCAACAGAAAAGCACCCCAGTCCAGAGGATTCCATACATAGCTCTCTTCTTCATCTTCTTCATCTTCTTCATCTTCTTCATCTTCTTCATCTTCTTCATCTTCTTCATCTTCTTCATTGTTTCCCGATGGGGATTCTGAAAACTTCAAGTTGAATGCGCTAGCCAGATGGCTGAATGCCCCTCCTCGTTCCTCGGTGACCCTCTCCTGGGGCGCCGATTCGCCGGTTGTGACTCCTCTTCGCCTCCATTGCAGCTCGGTATTTCTGGGATCTTCTCCATGTTCGGCGATGGACACCCTCTCTGAGGACGAGGTGGGACGGTTTGATGTCCCTGCACACAAGGGAGTTGAAGCTTGTAGGGACTCCATGCTCTTAGCAAAAGTCTGATCGTCACTATGTCCGAGTGCTTTAGCAGGACATAGATCCATAGCGACCCCTGCCTCCTCCTCCTCATGCGATACAACTGCTGAGAGTTCATTGCATATGTCCAGTTCCTTGCCTGCACCATCCACGTCGCTTTCTGTTGATGTTTCTTCTGGATCGAATGATTGCAGATCATCTGTTGCATACCGTATAGGTGCAGACCAGAACAAGAACCGACCTTTCAATACAAAGTATAAAATAGCACAGCGGAAGACTTAGATACCAATGATCCGAACAATCAATATTGCAATGCAGCCCCAAACATACATCATCATCCTCATTCCATGGTGTGAAGGGGTCTGGCGCTTCACACAGGAAGACTGCGCCAGCCCCAACCATACACAGACGAAGGAGATGGGGGTTAGACGAAGAAGAGGGGAAGATGG